AATTAGACTATCATCGTAAGAGTCATCTATCTCTTCGACACCACCAGACACTCCTGATGAACTTAAATGTGCAGGTATTTCTGAATAAGCCTTGTCCTCACAAATATCATTTATTGGAATGCTTGATTGATGAAGGCTTAATATTTGATGGTCTAATTCTTTTGATTTTTCGCCAAGCTTAAAAATTAACTTGTGACTATGAACCTCGGCTTCAGTGGCAGCAACGGATGCAGTTATCAAAGGTGCAGCATTATCTCTTTCATCCAAGCCTCGATCTGCAATGCCTTTAGATTTATCAACTGATTCATCAGTCGTCAACTTTGCTACATTATCATGTTTAATTACGATCCCGAGTAAGTTTGGATGCTGATGATGTACAGAAGCATTGACAGACAAATTTTCACCTGGTGGAGATTCGAATTCCTTGGAGACTTGTTTAGCTTCATCTGTATTTTGTTTAAATTCTTTTCTTGGTTCTGTATGCTTCTTTTCTTGCGATTTAAACTTCTCTTTAGCTGCATCAAATGTCTCTACTTCATCACCCTTGAGATATTGCTCATCCGTGTCTAGCAAAGCAGCGGAACTCTTGGAGGGATCTTGAAATGTGTTTGTCTGAGACCAAGAACAGGTTGGCAGCAGGCTGCAAAGAGATGAACTAGCTAAAGTACTGTTCCTTGATGAGCAAGTTGTGAGAGTGCGGGTACGTTTGAATATTTGTTGGCGTCTTTTGATTCGGGAATGACATGCAGATGAAAGCGCCGTCTAAAAAACATTGTTGTTTATTTGAAAACTATCCAATTTTAAAGAATAACTGATTCTCATATGCTTAAAATAAAATTATATTTTTATATATTTTAACATATAAAATATTAATTATTGAAATTGATTTAAATATTATCCTTTAAAAAATATATATATATCTGTACAGGAAAAGATTTTACTAAATAGGCTTATATTAACCGACAAATATCCATTTAGAAACAAAGTGGCTATGTAATAAGAAGAATGATTGATAGTTGATTAATTGTCTATGTATTTGTAATTAAGTTTAAAATATAATTTACTTAAAAATAGTATTTATTGTTAGTTAAATTTGTTAAAATAGAGAGTAAAAATAGTATGCCTTAATCAATTTCGATATATAATACTCGATTTATTTAATTTCATAATCAATTCCAATTTTCTTAAAGAACAAGTAAAAAATATTCTTTTATGGCTTTTTACAGCAATTTAAATAAGCTACCGCGTTTATAAGGTATCTGATGCTGTTTCCCTTAGTAAAACTTCTGATTATAAACGACTGGCTAAACTAGTGAAGTGGGTTGACCTCGTTGTCGCAACTTGGTCTTGTGTTCAGGGAGACTATGTAGAACGCACCGA